TGTAGATACATGCGCGCATATGCTCTTTACGGAACGCAGCCTAAATATGATGAGTTTACCAACGCTTAAACCAGAAATATAAAACGATTCGTCTAAAGCACGGTGTAAGAATATAAGGTGGTTTCACGACCATTGTATTCTATCAAAAAATCTGTGATCAAGATGTCATAGTTAAGGCATGTCACACAAGATGTCGCGTTGGTGCAAGATCCCAAGTAAAAAAGAATAGAAGATATGGATAGATGTGGATAAAAAAGGATAGATGATGAATCTCTAAAGCACATCTATATATAATTTTAGTCTTAATTAATACAAATTTTTTTAAATAAAACTTTTAACATTGTGTATAAAAATATATATTACTGACAAAATATTTTTTTATTTTTTTATAACAAATTATTCTTAGTTAAATTTACAGAAAAAATAATTAATAATGTATTCCAGTCTTTATAGAAAATTAAGTTTTTTTAAGAAAATGAATATTTATAATTAAATTCCGCAGGACAATCAAATTTTAATAAAATTTCTATACATGTATATATATATTTCAAGTCGCTCAACACGTAGCCACCTAGCGGTTCAATGTGAAACAATGACAAAAAGATCACAAAAATTTGTTGCCGTGCAACCACCTTATATTCTTACACCGTGGTCTAAAGCCATGGATGAAGCCATGGATGAAGCCATGAATACCTAGATGGAGCGATAAGTGGTCTAAAGGCCATTGTCCACGATGCTAGAAATTGGTCCGAGATATCAGAATGCCGTCACATACAGCCCGTAATCTGTAATCCGCACCTGAAGTCTGCAAAAGTTACTAGGTATTTCGTCCGTAACGTTACGTGTGTTTTTATCTCCTTGTGTCTCATGGAGCCGTAAATACAGACGTAACGGTAGTACTATTTTTTATTTAACAGATTATAATTGTTTATTTGTATTTTATTCATAAAAAAACTACAAAATATAATATGATTTTAACAAAAGTTTTAAATAAATTGTCAAATTCAGTTAAATAAATAAAATTAAAAAAAGCATTACTAGTAATAACAAGTAACTTGTAGTAACTTTTACGGAAATTTCATGGAATTAGGCTGTATCCCCACGGAGAAAGAAATAACGGAACGGAACAGTAACGGAACAGTAGTTGAAAAGAGATATATTCATCATATCTCTTTTCCTCTACTGTTCCGTCACTGTTCCGTTCCGCTATATCTTTCTCCATGGGGATACAGCCTTAGACAGAATTCCCACTAAGCGCGTCACGCGTTGCGTTGTCCGCCGCGTCACAAATTAACCAATCAAAATATCCCATTTTATTGCATTATTTGCGCGCAAATAAAATGGGATGTTTTAATTGGTTAATTCGTGACGCGACGGATGACGCGACGCGTAACGCGCTCAGTAAGAATTCGCCATATGTTTCTCGGACCGATTTCTAGCATCGTGGACATTGGCCTTTAAAAACGAAAGGGATGAAGTCTGAGCGGCAGGGAAAAATTATGCAGCGGCTATGTTAACTGGCAAAAAAAATGTTCTTAACCTAACCTTGGCTTGGCGATTGTGTTATGAATAAAATTCATATATTATAAATTCCGCGCTCGTTCAGTTACTCAGGTTACCCTAGAGCACTAAAGATACAGGTATTCTCGCCTGTGCCATTATCAATTCTTCTAAGTTGCTCGAACTTTATTGGGACCAAAAAAACAAGGAGTGAGGGAATAGATCGAAAATGGCGCAGGCAAGAATACTCACGTTTATAGTGCCTTAGTCACCCGTAACCAACATTTTGGTTGGCTAGATTTCCTCTAACTTCAACCCCGCTCGCTTTCACTCCGTTCATATATTCTTACGTCCATGTCTGAAATCCCACGGACTAAGGAATAGAGGGACGGAGCACAAGCTGTACCGGGGAGCACGTTCGCGGCGGGAGGGGGGGGGCCGCCATATTCGTTTAGTAATCACCACACATAGAACTCACTATTTGCGTATGTGTGAGAAATGAAAGTCAGATCCTACGCACAATAAACAAAATAGGAAATAGAAATAGAAAATAGAAATAGGAATAATTATTAAATATTAGAAATAAAAAATGGAATTATTTATTTTAAAATAAAAAGAATAGAAAAAATTAATGCATGAATTAAGAAATAAGAATTGGAACTAATTAATATATATTTTATTCTCTTGTTAGATGTAAAATAATTTCTCTTTTTAATATTAAATGATTATTGCTATTTCTAATATTTTGTCTACTGTATGCAGAGCCTCAGAGTAATAAAAGTTAAAGTATTTTATAAAATTTATAGTACAACAATAATAAAACCGCCTAATCTCTTTACGCTTGTCAGTCGTTATGTTTAGTGACACCATTACACGCGTGTAACCATGTCACAAACACAGAATCTTTTAGCGTTTTCGATTATACAGGATTTGAACGACCCAGGGTTGGTTAATGACGTCATTGCAACCTCTCCACCAATGAAAGACTTGCATTTATAGTAAAATAGTGATTGATCAACCCTGGGTCGTTCAAATCCTGTATAATCGAAAACGCTATTTGTGTGAGAATCGCTACATCAATATGGCGGAAAGCAGTCCCCCCGCACGCTTGAATTACCATCCCCTCTCG